ATTATTCATTTTTAATTTTAACCCAATACTAAAATTTAATAACTTAAAACCAAGCGCAACTCAACATTTTTTTCATCCTTAATCCAATTCTTTAAAACGTTTTATTTTCAAATAACAAAATAAAAATAATTAAATTAACCTTATAATATAAATTGATAGAGACAAAAAAATCCATAAAGACCCATTACCCCTTATCCATGAGTGACGAGAATGAAGAGCAAATTCTACCTATCAAAATTTTCAACGGGAATGGGGAGGCAGGCACTACCCCGTTGCCATCCCAATTTAATATAAAACCGTGCGGCGGGCTTACCTTTGCTGCACGTAATTACCCATCTTCCTCCCCTTTGACTTAAAAACACCAGAAAAACGGCAATGCGGGCCGCCTTTTTTTATGGGGATAACTTAAAAAATGAAAACATAATCACTCCTTTTGTTTTTTTCTCGGTAAATAAATAACTCCTTTTGTTCTTCTGATAAATCTAATATCTTATTTAATTTGTACATTTGACTCAATGATATTGATCTTAAATTAATAAGATTATTTTCATGAGTTACAGTTTTGAACTTCATGGATTCCTTTTCCTATATTCTTTTACCTTCTCCCTCGATTGTAATCATGTTAAATATATATATATATATATATAATATCTCCTTTTGTCATTTCTTATTTATAGATTTGTCTGTGGTATGGGTTAAGCCTGCTTGCATACATTATTTTTTATGTATTAATTTATATTAAAAAAATAAAAAATAATATTAATTTTAACACATATATCATGTAATATTTTTATTAAACAATTAATAAAATTAATATCATTTTTAACTATATAATAATAATATATAATAAATATACTATTAAAATACAAGTTAGAAAATCGTTTATTTATATATCTTTCTTTAAAATTTTGGGTTGGGTCTTGCTATACTTCGACAGTATGGGTCTCTGGAAGGGTATTAACTATTGACCTATCTCAACAAGCCTCGCTCAGGCCCACAAACTTCATGATACTGAGTTGGGTTTGAAATTTGCCCAAATTCCTTTTATTTATGGCCCATTTAAAAATTATGGCCCAAAAAAGTGAACAATAAAAATGAAGCTAAATTTTATCAAAAAAGTAAGAATTAGTTTATATTATAAAAAATTAAGAAGAAAAATATTTTAAAATTATATTATTTTAATAAAATTTTATTAAAAAAATTAAAACATCTTAATTTTTAAAGCAAGATAGAGGTTGTTTTTGTTATAGTGTTTTATTCAAATGATATGATTTTAAAATACTTTTCTATTTAATTTTTTATAAGTCTAGTTGATAAACATTAATCTCGAAATTTTATTCTACATTTCTTATATATTTTAATTCTTATCGAATCTGAATCTGACACTTCAACTGCATTAAAGAAAAAAAAAAGGTCCACACCCAATTCAATACTTAATCTAAACCATTGACCACAGTTCAATAAATTAATATTGTAATTCTCCTCCTATATTGCAACTTGTCCAAAAGACTTCAATTTGTGAATGCTAAAACACTAAAAAAAAAATTGTGTTCATAATATCTATGTGGACCATCCCGTCCCCATACGCTTCCTTCTCCTTTGCCTTCGCCAGAAGTCTTGGAACATGGGGTTCTTAAAGTTGAGGTCAATTTCTTTGAATTTTTTATGCAAATAAGGGCAGAGACATATGTTGACCATTTCATTCACACCTATTATCTCTCAAAAAGACTAATATACATTAAGGTTAATAATTCTATTTCTTTGTATTGATATGTAGTCATTGACCATTAGTAATAATTTTGACAACTAGAATATGATAATCTCCCAAAGAAAATTAAACGCACATCATTAGCGCACACACACACACAAAATGAAGATTAGTTGAAATAAAGATACCAATTAACTTGCATCATTTTTTTTTATTTAATTACTACATGAATCAAACTTTATCTAGGTTGGGTTTGTCCATGATTGTTATCTTTTCTTATCTCACTTATGAGTCATGACTCGAGCTGATTGAGAATTATTGGACCACTAGATCAATCATTGACAATTTTATGGCCTGAACCAGGTTGTTGACAATTAATCTTCATATTTTAACTCAAATGACAAAGGTAGTTCTAAATAATGATCAATTTTAAAAGGTTTCAACTTGGAGTCCACTATCTTTAGATCATTGAAATTAAGGGACAAGTAAAAAAAAAAATAATTGAGAAGTGGACTTGAAGCTTACAAATTAAGGAACTAAGGAAAAAGGAGCCAATAATTAATTAGGCCAACAATTTAAAGGAAAAAAGGGTGTTCATTAAATGATCACCTAAACAAATATCAGTTTGCCTTCAACAATGTGAACTGGATCTTGTACTCCCTATGTTTAATTTTAAAAGTTAGGATTCACTTGTACATAAATTTTACACAAAATTTTGAACATTTAACTTTTCATTTTCAATATTGGGTGATATTTATCATAATTTTTTAGATAAAAAAAAAAGATAATTCCTTTCAATAAATTAATAAATCTCAACTATTAAAAGTAAAAGATGAATAATCAAAATTTTATATAAATGTGGTGCGTAACACTTATATGTAAGTGAATCCTAACTCAATCTAACTTTAATAACCTTAATTTGGCTTTTTAAATTTTTAGGCATAAATTTTAAAGAAAAATTTAAAATTTTATATAAACAATAATTAATTTTTTTTACTATATGTAGTTCTTGTTGAGTTTTTTTATTTGACCAAGAAAAAAAATTCAATTATCATTTATAGAATATGTTAAATTTTTATGAGAAATTGAAGTTTAAAAAGGTAAAAAGTCAAATTAAAATTACTAAAATTGAAGAGAGATTGTAGCACAATATTATGCACTCAAGGGGTGTCCTAGGTATTTAAGAATTTGAGATTTTGCATTGAAAACATTGAGATCATATCTTAATTAAGAGGGATGGAGAGAGATTAACTATATGTTTGGATTGACGGGATTGGAAGGAAAGGGAATTGTGTATCATTTTATTCCCTTTCTCTCTTCCTTTTATTTGGACAAGTAAATAAAATTAAAAAAATAAAAAAATTTCTCCACCCCTCCCTTTTAATTTTTTTGATAACTAAATAAAAAAATTGTTTCCTCTCCCCTCTTCTCTCTTTCATTCCCTTCAAACTAAACATACTACATACTATAAGAGAAGAAAAAGATTATTCACTATTATATAACTTATTATCTAATGTACCAAAGAAAAGTCATATACAATAAGCTAATGTATTGTTTACCTTATAAACTAGGAATTAATCACATTGACGCCCCGACGCCAAATTAAATACCGATGCAAATTGTATTTGGTTAGTGAAGTTTTTTCAAAGATAATTTAAGATTTAAAACTTTAATGTCAAATGGATGATGTTAGATGAAGTTTGAGTAGATCAAACGTGATTATAATTTATATTAATCTCGCGTTGAATTCAGATCCAGAGAGATAGACACTGTCTTCAAGATCGTTGAAATCAATTAGCTAATTACGGCATGCATCTGGACGGTCGTCCTTAAAAAAACTGCACTTGTTACTTTGTGTATAGGACACAACATTTGAACCTGGGTGCACACTTTAATAATAGATATCAAGTTCGATCTGTAGACATCACCAAAATATAGAAGAAGCATGTAGCTAGTAGTTGGAAGATGAGCTATAGGGTTTTGGAAGATTAATATTTTACATCTTCTTCAAAGGGTGATTGATGATGTTATATTATCCAATTTCTTTCAACTTTTGCTTGTGGCCACTGCCGGGGTGCAGTGTATATATAATTACAATTAATTTTATCGTATTTATAAAAAAAGATATTTTTAAATTAATTTTTATATTTTTCAAAATTAATACTTACTTATGTAATTTTTAAAGTTTGAATCTTAAACTTATCTTATATATATAATAACACTCATTTATTTGTATGTTAAATACTTTTGAGGTTATTTTTCGTTAAGTTATTATTATATATATAACAATTTGGTTTAGGCTAAGTATTTGTGAAGTAACTTTGCCATAAACTTATGAACCATGCCC